AATTTTCTATTATTTCATTGCCATTTGTATTAGGAAGAAGTTGTGTCTCTGTAAGAGCTAAAACATCACTGTTAAATACAGCAGAATCATATTTTATGTCAATACTATGTTTATTAAGAGATCTTATATTAAGGAGAGTGATTACTAATGATTTTGTTGAGCAGAAACTTTGTTCCTGATTACATTCATGAATGCCGAGTTTGTTGAAGTCTTTTCTTAATCTTTCATATTCATCAGATGTTTTTGCATTTGCTTTCACATGTTTGTGTTCAATTTTTCCAAGTATATGAATACCTTGTAATGTTTTTGCGCGACTTAAGGCTACATATATTTGGCCATAGTTAAAATTTTTTTGTCTATTGAGGTCAAAACTAATTACCACTCTGTCTAAAGTCAGACCTTGTGTCTTATGCACTGTGCAAGCCCATGCTAGTGTTAATGGAAACTGTACTCTTTGTATTTCAGGTGATGATGGCTTATTAGGTCTGACTTTAATCTTAACCAAGATTGGTTCTAGAGGTACAACCTTGTGTTGTTTGGCATATTGGTTATTACTATTATTTATTTTGTTTTCTCCTGCTTTGTTATCATCAAACTTGACGTATATTATTGAAGGGTTTTGAGTGTTTGGATTGGAATCTATTTTGAATACAGTACCAATTTGACCATTGATTAGCCTGTCTGCTATGTCAATGTTAGATGTAAGCATTACTCTTGCAGTTTCTTTCAAATGGAATTTATAATCAAGACCACCAGTTTCAGATCTTCCTCTAGACAATACTCTGTCTATATCTTGTTTTGTTACATTGGTAGGATATAGATCACTTGCTCTAACTGTAAACATTGGTTTAGGTATTTGCTCTAATTTCATTCTGTTGTGTTCATCTACTGGCTTATTTTCTGCCCATATATGTAAAGCATCTGATGGATAATTAATATCTGTTGGACTAATTTGTCTTGACTGAATAGCCTCTATGTCTTCATCTGTTTGAGTTGCTGTTCTGAATCTGTTCAAAAGAGCAGTGAATGCTTGATCATTTTTCTGTCTCATTATTTCTGTCAGCTCAATCATTTTAAAGACATGCCAGRGATGACAAAGATTGAAWGCATCATTTTTATAGTTCTCAAATACAAGTCTTCTGCGAATTGGTGGTAACTGATATAAATCTCCAACTGCAATAATACTTATGCCAGCAAATAGTTGCGAATTAGTTGTACCAAAGATTTCTTTTAATCTTTGATGGATATGAAGTAGAGTTGAATTAGCAACCATTGATATTTCATCTACTATTAATAACTTGAGGTCAGACAATGATAATCTTAGTTGTGTTCTTTTTTGGTCTGACATGGCAGGTAATATATCACCAGTATTTATAGGTATTGCTAACGCTGTGTTTATAGTTGTGCCATCAATATTTATAGCTGCTACTCCAGTAGGTGCTGTTAGCAATACTGTTGGTTTCTCAGGATTCATTGGCGCATATCTAAAGGTCTTTGATACTGTGTGATAGATTGTTTTAATCAAATGACTTTTTCCTGCCCCTGCACCACCAGTGATAAACACATATAATGGATCAATATTTTGTGGCTTAAGGCTGTTCAAGCTTTTCATTTTGTTCCTACACCATGAAAGCACCATATTGTATGCTGTGCGTTGCATTTTGTTTAGTGATCTAACTGATTGTCGTAATTGGTCATCTGATATTTCTGATGGCTGATTATAACTTGCTATTGCTGCAGCTGGACTTGGATTTTCAGTNCAATGGCCTTAAAAACAATCCAATCACGCTGAAATTTTACACAAACATAGTTCATTCAATGCTAAATGAAATTAGAGAAACAGTTATTTTAAAATATTGCACAAATATTTTTCTGAGTTCTTTTTGCACACGGTTGTGAAAATCTTTTGAAATATGTACCCTATGTTTATCGGCAGAAAAATCTTCCTGGTACCTAATTATTTTTAAAATTGAACTTGATTTTCTAATTGACATGCTAACAAATATTATCTGTATCGAATTTCAAGCTCGAAATCGAAGTATTTCAATGTGCAATCGATCATCGATTATTCTCCATTATCGGGTCAAAAGTCAATACCACAGGTGTTTACATTAACCAACTCATACGTCAACTTAGCAGATTTTTTCACTTSTTTCACTTGTAATTGCATTTGCCGGCCGAAAAATTTCCAAAATTATGATAGAATAATGCGTGCATACTTTTGTTTTTGAATTTTKTTTKWKWTTTTTTTGATGAGTCGGTTTGAGGAGTTTTAACTACATGTATATTAACTTTCTTATCAGAAACTGCTATGCATCCAGTGATTATTTTGTAAAGCAAAGGCTACTGGAACATATAGAGAAAGTACATGTCATAAATATACTAATAATTACTGTTACAGATGGCTAGTCAACTCACAGCTTACAGATCGAGCAACAAATTGCCATCACTATTACTGTTTCAGAAGGCTAGTCAACTCACAGCTTACAGATCGAGCAACAAATTGACATCACTATTACTGTTTCAGAAGGCTAATCCAGTCAAAGCTTTATAAAAATAGGAAAAGAAATAAGCTATTAATTAATCAAGTTCTAAACTTTAAATTCATACATCTTTAAAATGAGTTGTANTACAATATCTTGTACCCCTGGCTCATAGAATTTAGATGCATATGTATTGTCAATTCCAAGAAGATCACTTTCATCTGTCCATGGGTAATACAACATTAGCAAATGATGGAAAAAAGATTCAGGTTCTTTTGTTTTATTTGGCCTATGATACCTAATAACTGCTTTGACTCTTCTACGTTTCATGATCTCTTTACTATTTATCAATCTGATTCTTTCAGGCAGAAGTGCATCATGTGGCCCATTACTATGATTTATTTCAACCAAGTCATCAGTGAGTACTTCTGGCTGTGCATCAAKAGTTTCACTACTTTCTTGCCTGTAATCTTTATAATAATAGGCAGCAAAATGTGCAAGACAGAGATTTTCTATAATAGGAATTGAGATTGGTCTAATACTATACCGCTCTATGATATTGGATTTGAATATATCTGTACTGTCCTCATCCAAATCATCTAGCTGTTGTTTTGTTTTGGTAATTCGTATGCGTTTTTCTGCTATTTCAGTATTCACAAAGACTGTTGCTGGAAATATTTTCCTTAACCAGAGCTCTGGCATACATCTATATACACATTCTTGTGAACTGACTTCTCTAGTTGAGAGAAATGCTGCACCAATTTTCCTCAGTCCATCTCTAATGTTCATATTATCAGCTTTTGCTTCTTTTGCTGCATTCATTATTGCCTGTGAACATTCTGTTTCATCTTTTGTAAAATATGAGCAAATATAAGTTATACACTTATAGTGATCAAAGACTGGCTGGAGATCAACATTGGCCTTGAATCCTTTTATCCCAGCAATGAAGTAGTTGTTTATAAAGCAACTGTCAATGKGTCGTCTTAAATGCAATTCATAGTTACTGTCAGGTGAAATTGCTAATGCTGAATAATACTGTTCTTGTGTTATTCCAACAGAGTTGAAAATGTCTTGCTCATTTAGTAAAGGATCATAGCTGGATTTACTTGGATTTAATACTTCATCTATTTTCTGTTTTACTAAGGAAAGGATTTCATGCCTTTTGTCTAAAATATTAGTCTTCACAGTGTCATCAATGTCATCAGAAAGAGGTTCAGCTACAATTGTGTTGCTTGTAAAAAACTGTCCAAAGTTAAACCTACACTGAATGTTTTTGTACTTTCTACATGTCTTAGAGTGACTATGTTTTTGGTACATTTTCACCAAGTTATGCAATTCGGTATCTTCTTCTTCATTTGGTAAATATGCCTGTACATGTTTATCTATGTAGTCTATGTATGCTTGTTTGTTCTCATGGTCTAGTTTTGGACAATCATCACACCATATTAGTGCATGCAAATGGGGACTACCTCGCATTTGAAATTCAATACGAAGGGCATAATAAACTATTTTACCAATGGGTTTAGCTTCAGTGAGTAACACTTCAGTAAAAAATGTTTCTACTCTGTACTGAAAATGCTTTGCTACTACAACAGGGTTAAGATTAAGCATTTGGCATCTTTCATTATAAGAAAGAGCATCAACTTGTTCATCTGTGAGGTTGTTGCCTTGTATTCTTGATAATATTTGAAATAGCTCAGGCCATCGAAGATCAGCACATGATAGTGTCATAAACCAAGTTGGAATCCCTAGTTGCTTGACCATTGCAATTACTTCATACATAAATTTTTGCCAATATGGTGGAGTACCTGGTATTTGCCTTAGAAATAGGTATGCCTGATCCTGACAAATGAGGTTTGTTAATCTCTGAGGGTTGTCTCTTAATTCAGAAGCAGTAACTGATTGACCATGAACTTTCTTTAGAGCAATATTAATACTGTCTGAAACTTTCTTCTGTTCAATGATATATTGTGCAAAAAAAAGATATTCTGGATTAGTTGCAAATCTTCCACTGTAATGGAGAAGCCGTGCATTGAAGTACTTAACAGGAGTAATAGGAATCTGCCTTTCTGCTGTGTAACCATATCTCCCTTTAGGAAATAGGACTGGAAATGCAAGCTCTTCACATTGTTTGTCAAGCATTAATGAAACAGGATGTTTGCTTTCTCCAGGTGCTACACTGAAAATTTCATTTCCACTGGATTGGTTATTATTATCAGTAGGATAGGTAGGTACAACAGACTGTAAACATGTCTCATATACTGGTGCTCTGTACTCAATGAGAGGATCATCATCTTCCTCTTCATCATTATCATTTAATTCACTTTTTTCTTCCAAATTATCTTCTTGTGATGCTTTCTCTTCTGTAACATTACTTAATTGTGTATAAGGATCAATATTTGTTGTAGTATTATTGCTTGAAGTAGTTGGCTCATCTGTATCATGTTGTAAATTTATGACACTGCTTTCAACATTACCAACATCAACTACTATGTCTTTGTATAATGTGTTGTTTGCTTTGAGCCAATAAAGTGCTTGTAATACTAACTCTGGTCGTACTGCCTGGAAGTAAACATGCCCTCTAAATTGCAACTTCCTCTTCAGTTTTAACATTATGATACCAGATCTCTCAGGTGCACGAGGCAATTGGTTACATGTCTGATCACATTCAACTGGTACATTACATATTGCACCTTTTATTTTTCTTTGTTGACCTTTTGGCATAATAATTATCTTCTGAAAAACTATACGTTGAGCTATAAGTATTTGTTCTAGTTTTTCAAGAGAAGCTAGTTGTGCTGGTATTTCATCAACATTCATGTCATTAAATACAGCTTGACAAGGTAGTTTTCCTTTTATGACTTTAGAGTGACATGTCTTGCATATATACTCTTTGTTGTTATATGATTTTTTAGTGAAAAAATATGTTTGACAACTAGGGTACTTGTCCAAATTACACTGTTTAACTGATTTTTTATACAATAATCTATGGCATACATTACATATAAAAAAAGGTCCTTCTCTTATTTTTATATTGAATTGTCTAATGCAGAATTCAATAGATGATCTTTCATTTTTATCACTTTGCTTTTTTTGCTTTTGGTGTAATACAGCCTTTCTACCTGGATCCTTATGCAATGATTTGTCATTTTCTCTGCACTTACTTAATAATTCAGTTGCTTGAGTTGATTCTATTGATTGGTACTTTTCTTGCCTGTTACTTACTATTTTATTCTTTTTAGTCAAGCTTTTTGATTGGTAATTTTTTCGATTCCTTGTTTGTTGCTTTTTTAATAATTCAATCTTTCTTGTCAAGTCCATTGATTGGTACTTTTCTTTTCTCTTACGTAGTATGTCATTCTTAGAATTATTGATTGATTGATGTTTTTCTTTTTGCTTTCTATTTGATTCTTTCTTTTTTGCAATGCGTATTTCTGAATATCTCATTTGTTTATTTTGTAACAATCTTTTTTTGACAGCAGGTTCCATTGTGTCATAGTCATATTTTTTTCTGTGTTTTTTCATTATCTTTTTTCTTTCATTTTCATTAATTGTACTAGAGCATTTAATAAATTTTATGTTATATACTACTTTCTCATCAATTTGTCTGTTTTTAATAAATATATTATTTATTGTGTTTATAAGTGCATTTATCCCTTTAATATTTTTTTTGTGTTCTATTGCAGGTGTCTTGCCATCACAATATGACACGATAGAAAACAAATATTTCACTTTGGAATTTTTTTGATTTATACAAGCTATACAACTACTTGAAGTACACATCAGAAATCCTGTATTTTCAAGGAAATTATGATTGTTTAATATCAAAGTCTTTAAAGTTTCCCTACTCTCATTTGAATTTAGTAGTATTTCATTGATTTGCTTGTTGCATTGTATTTTTATATTATTTCCACAAATATCAGCACAGTCTGGTAAGTCAGATGTAAAATCAAATTGAGATGAACTGTTTTCAATTGCATGCAAAGTATTTGATCTCCAATAATTGCAAGGTGAAATAATTGAATAACATATGGAATAAAGGCATATTGCATAAGACCTTGCTGTATTGTTTTTATCAGCTTCTTGACCTGCATTCTGTAGAGGCACTACAGGACTGATAACTCTTATGCCTTTTAGTTCATATGTGTCTGTTAACCCATATAGACTTTGGAAATATTGTACTAGGTTGTTTATAGATAATGCATGCAATAATACACATGTCCCTTGTGGATGACTGTTTCCGTAAATATCCCTAGCATGAGAATCAAATATTTTAAAGTGATGAGAAATAGGACAATAAATAATTGCAACTCCAATACATCCAGCAATCAAAATAAATGATTTATATTCTTGTGATATCAATGTCTGAAAAGCTCTTTGTAGTCCCATACAATATTCATATCCATCAATAGCAACATCACCATGTATATTACCAGTATAGCTTACACTATAATCTAGTTGATAATTTTCCTCTAGGACTGAAAGCATTGTAGGCAATTCTGTCAACATTAGGAATGACTGTCTTGCTAGTTGTGATAAACTGTTGTACAGTTTATTTCCAATGTGCATTATTTGTGTTAAATCATTAGGTGTGTTAATTCCTTTCATGACATGATATATTAAAGCAAAAAGACTCATTGCGACACACTGCTGCCCAGCATTTTCTCTGAATACCATCACGTTTCCTTGACTGTATGGCGCTTTTACTGTTTTACTAGAGTCAACATAGTGGACATGATCAGGACCTGGATTTGTCTCTATGTCATTGCAAAGTTTGTATTTAGTACAATTACTTCTGTGACTTGCACTCTTAAACTCGTAGGTTGAACAATTACATGAAAATAACTTTAACCACATCCGACCGCCCTTATGTATATTTGAATACATGAAATATCTGAAATTTAAAGCAAACGCTTTCTTTCTAATTTTGTGCATAAACGTAAAATATTTTGATTTTATTTGTGTACTTTTATTCATACTACTACGTACTGTTATATAAATAGAGGAAATAGCATGGTGAAGTTGTGAAGATCTGGGGATGCTTTTGAGGACACGATGGCACACATATCTTCGTAGATTCCTGCTCTTCTTAGAGAGACGATTTAACTTATTGAACGGTATTCTGCTTGGCTCTCGATCCCGCTTATTACCATGACATTCACACACAACACGATTACAAGGATAATACACATATTTAGCATAGCGAGATCTAAAGTTTATTACTTTCATTGACACTGTAACATCATTATAATTGTTAATATTAGAAAAATAAATAGTCTTTTCAAGTATATGGCAGTCATCAAGAGTTTGTGAAAAGTTGTATACAGCTGTCCACGTGGAAAGCGAAGCTATTGCAATCAGTTGAAACATTATTACAACAAAAACTATAAAAACCTTGCTGAATGACTCTCTATAAGTACAGACAACTATAAAAATAAATATAGTTATCCAAAGACTCACTGAAAGAAATGAATTCAAATGTCCATTTAAGAAATCCAACCAATGTCGCATCCTTCGCGAGAATAAAATGGCGGCGGCTTTGTCGCTCGGTATCGACTGGTCACCTTGGCAAGTCGTTCGGTAATTAGAAGGATACTTGGTTTCAGGTGCACTAGATTTCTTCATCTCAGCAATCGTAGAGTTAGTTAACGTGTCAGTTATTGTACTTTTGTCAGTTACATTGTGGGTTTGAGTCGTATTTGGCTCATTAGAACTGCTAAGATCAACGACATCAACGCTATTCATGCTAATAGATTCGTGGACCGGCCCGTTCCGAAAATTACGCTGAGAAACTTTTAGTGTAGGCCTACCACGAATGGCGTGTGCGTTTGTATGTAAGGACAGCGTTCGTAGCTTGATTTTTTCCATCGAATAACTTTTGCCTTCGCTCCACGAGTCAAGACGACCAAGGACGGGTTAATACTTCATGTAACTCCTAACTATAAGACTCTACATAAGATCCTATGTAGATATTAGCTATGAGCCAATTCATGGGTAGTACATGAATTACTGTGCAATTTGAAGCCTAACAAAAAATCATGACCAATGAAAGGCTAGTACTTCATGTAAGATCCTACCTAAGACAGCAATCTACATATTACTGATGGTGCCTATTCATTTTGTGGTACATGAAGTACTGGCCTACTTTTGTTTGTAATTTATGACATGGACTTCCTTCGGAAGCCCATGTAATNATTGATAATAAAAAATGATTAATCGAAAAGCACAGGGAGACCATTTAGAGCAAGTAAGTATAATATATTAATATGATTAAATGAATAACTGCTGACAAAAACATCGCAGGCTAAAGTTTACAGGAAAGTGATCGAGCGAGCGAGCGAGCGAGTGACAGCTTCTCCCCTCCCAATAACTCTACGATTGCTAACGCAATCTCCGAGTTAAAAACCGCTCTATATTTTATTTTATTCGAGACAAATACACAGCATGGACTTATTATCACCGTGTCATTGGATTATGAAGTCCACAACAATACGAATTTGAGATAAAACTGTCGAAGAAATTCAAATTATTTCACTATCAAATATGATCAAAATACATGCATATGTTGGCTAGATAAACACGAACTTATGAAGCCAAAATTGGGCTAAAAACCAAGTTTAAAGTGATAAATGCCTTACTGTTACGTTATTTAGACTAATAAGTAAAGAAAACACAGTTACTTACTCTATAAAACCAAGTTTTTCGGTCGTATTCCTTCAATTTCGTCCGCTACACGCAACGGTCACCTCAAACTATGTGCTCCAATGAACTCTACCCATCATGCAATACGGCTTGTATTACACAGCAATCCCATCGAATTTAAATGTATGTAATACAATTTATTGCTGTTTTTAAAGAAAACTAATGAATATTACCCAAATAAATCAGTACATGATAATTCTTAACTAATAAATTATTAATCTGAAATACATTACTACATATAGGCTTGTCTATATTTTTCCAAATCACGAAAAATATGCGCTCGTAAACCTAAAAATCATTCTTGCTCTATTTAAGATCCTATCGGATCCTTCGAACAATTTTTTTAAAAAGTGGTGTTTGTTAAAAACTTTATTAGGTATTAAGAAAAGTTTTCTATCAAACATTGAATTCACTTCAAATTCACATGTATTCACATAAGTGTAAATGTTATATTCACATCTATATTTGCACTTCACGAATATGATGCGAATATTATATTTGCATTAGTTTTGCATCATATTTGCAACATGGTGCGAATGTCATATTTTCATCACAATGTGAATATGATGCGAAGATAGATCACCAAATTCACACCAGATTTGCAATTAGAGTGAATCCGTGTCTCAACATGTCCAATTGCACTTCAGCAAAGTTCAAACAATATTGACATTGAAGAAGCAGCTTCAAATGATTCAGAAAAGGACAAAGAAGAAACAAAAATTCTGATTCAAACAATAGCTGTAAAACACGAAAACGTGAAAGAGCTGCCTATATTGAGACAATACAGACAAAATAATATAATTCACCAGATAAAAAGTTAAAGAAAAATGAAAACCAAAGAAAATATAGGCAAATGACTGCATCACCAGAAAAAAAAAGTAAAGCATAATGAGTACCACAGAAAATATAAAGCATACACACGGAATAATAACATATTATCTATTGAATTTGCAATCAAACGGTTCCATGAAATAGTAAGCCAAGGCCCATTATATGTTTGTACATGTTGTGATCAACTGTGGTATAAACATAGTGTCAGTAGTACTAATAAGCTTAGACAGTCAAATCCTGACAGTGTAAAATATMTATTAAATAAGATAAGTGTTGGTAACAAAGAATGGGTTTGTAGAACATGCTCTAATTATTTGATCAAAAATAAGGTCYCACCATGCGCTATAGCCAATTATATGGCATTTCCAGACAAACCAGATTTCTTTGATCTGAATGAACTAGAATGTAGATTGCTAGCACCTASAATTGCTTTTCAAAAATTAATGCAAGAGGATAACAGCTCAAAATACATGGCAATATTGTTAATGTACCTGCTGATGTGACTCATACAGYTAGTATATTACCACGATTACAAAATCAAACTGCTACAATTAAAGTTAATTTAAAGCGAATGTTGAAATATAAGAGCTCAGCGTTGTCACTTAATGTAAGACCTTATAAAGTACTTCAAGCAGCACATTGGCTTATGACACATAGTAGTTTGTATAGAGATGAAGGTATAGTGTTGAATTATGACTGGATCAATCAAAACAACGAAGCTGTCAATGATGAAATTAATGAGAACTTAGAGTCCGATATAGTAGATGAAACTGATGACAATAATATTGGTTCAGAAGGGCTGAACCAAAATGAATTGCATGAAGATGAGGCAGAAACAATTGCTGGTGTTACTGATACTATGTATACTATGTTTACGGCAACTGACTTTTTAGAAGATAATGAAAGGCAAAACATTTTAAATATTGCTCCAGGTGAAGGGAATAATAGACCATTAAGTGTTTTTGGGGATAAATATTGTGAAGAGTTAGCATATCCTGGAATATTTCTTGGGCAACCACGAACTGACAATAAAGAAAGATTAGTAAGTATTAATTATAGTGATATATGTAAATCAGAGTTGAGACGATGCGACAGACGAGCTGCAATGTGCATTGAAAATATTTTCTACAAAACAAAAAAGTTGYAAATGAAAATCCTCTTAGGGAAATCACATATAGCTCTGAGAAAGTGTAAGAGTAACAACAAAAATATAACTGCTGGACAACTTAAACAGCAAGGAACATTAGATAGATTGATTCGTCATGATGATGGATACAAATTTCTGAATGCATTAAGAGGTTCACCTCTATACTTAGACTAAGGCTAAAAAAGACTTGTTCGCCATGATTAGACAATTAGGACCTGCTACACTGTTTTGTAGTTTCTCATCAGCTGAAACACAATGGATACACCTACTTAGAATACTTGGTCAGCTTGTAGACCATAAGGWATAYWCTGATGAAGAAATAAACAATTTTAACTGGGATGACAGGTGTCGCTTAATTCAGAGTGACCCTGTGACATGTGCTAGATACTTTGATTACCAAGTAGTCCAGCTGTTATCGTCCAAAAAAACCTTGAATTGTGCAAATTGATGATAAAAGCATGAAACTTTCACAGATTACTAATGACCCTAATAGTAAAAAAATCTGATATAGTGCCAATCGAAATAGGCTCTAGGATCGGAGAACCACGCATGTCCGGAATTTCTAAACATGGAAACGAGGCTCAAGATATATCCTCCTCTGAAACGAAATTGGTCAAGGCAATTTTTTTTATTGAACTTTGTAGCATGAACACTTGAGTCATTGTTTTACACTTGTGTCTTTATTTGAGTAATTTAATGACAACACGTGACAAATTTGACAGATTGGCATCCAACGTTTGGGTACCCTGTGGCAAACAATAGTTTATTAAAATATTCTTGTTTTTGAACTGGAAACCTGTTTATTGCAGTTCTGCATTATTTAGTTGACTTATTTACAGAGCAGCTTTGCATTGATAAGGTGTCACGTGACCATTTTTATTTATTTTTAACTTTGGGTACCCTGTGGTAAAATTGTGTTTTTTTTTTGTTTTTGTTTTTGAAGTTGCAATTGTTGTGAGCCGAAACGTTCCAAACTTAGTTTCATAAACATGCCAAACTACTTCACATAGGCACTTGACATAAAGTATTATAAAACACATTCATAGAAAAAAATGGCTCAATATTTTGCAGGATCGTCAGCTTTCTAGTGTTGGCAGTTTCCACCACATTTGCACAGAGCAGTGCAAACCAAATTAGCATTGAAGCATTTGCATCGGCCTCTGCAGGACGTTTTGCATCCACATCGTATAAGTTCATGGCAAGTGTCCTTTGCTTGGGGAAGCAAAGACCAATGTGGTGACCATAAGTTGTCCTCTTGATGCCATCCCCAATCTGATGGGTTAGGAAGTACAGGCTGACGAAGAAGGGTTTGACCCCACACATGGGCTCCTTGGTATAGCGCTCGTCTTATGTGCTGATGTAGAGCAGCCTGGGTTGGAGGGATGTTGTCTATACTTCTTGACCTCTTTGTGAAAAGCTCRCACCTCAAATCWTTTACCCTTCTCTGGCCACTTGTGCGATCGTATAACAGTGCCACAAACCTCTCAAGGACATCCATGGATTCGACCTCTGTGATGCTCTCTGGCGATGCTTTGAGATTCTTGAGTACTACTGTCAATTCAGGAAAGACATTCCACACATCCCATGCAGTCTTCTTCCCACGCCCTCCAAAAAATGACACCGTGTCACATCCGGTTAAGGCGTGGAAAATTGGCAGACAAGTAGATTTTTCAGGACCAAGGGATCTTGCTATGGCATGCACCGGAACATTTTGGATGTTCTTCCCAGACCCATGGGTAACCCAAAGTTCCTCTACTGCCAGAGTGTTCACAACTGACACTGCAAGCACAATGACATCTGTATCGTTGCTTCGRATCTTAATTTTCTTGTGGCCATTTAGCGTCGCATCAAGAGCATGAAGCATAAGKCGAGTGTCTGCTTCTTCGTGTGTACATGGAGCAAGGACACCCAAGTCTGTTCTCAGTGTTGAAGACAGGACATCTTGACCATGGGT